CTACCATCAAGTCAATTCTGACTCATGGCAGCCCCATGTGTTACAGACTAGAACTGCTCCACAGGATTTTCGTAGCTATAATTTCACAGAAGCAGATCACTAGGCCTTTCTTCCAAGGTACCACTGCATGGATTTGAACCACCAACCTATAGGTTAGTATTAGAGCACAAATCACTTGTACCACCCAGGTGTCAAGGCATGAACTAGTAACTTGAAATTTGCCTCTGAAATTGGAGAGTGCTGTGAAATTGAAGAAAGAGCTGGGCAACTCCAGTGTGGCAGTGAAGGAGTTTTATTAGGGCAACTTTCGTATGAGGAGGTCCCTGGAAGTCACAGGACTAAAGCAGATCTCTGTGCCCCACAGTGACAGGGCAGAGGTTTTATAGTGGCAGTGGACAATAGTGGCCACATGCCAGGGACTTATGTAAGAATAAAAACTATAGTGAATTGGAAGACTGCAGGAGGACACTCTTGTTAAGCCATACAAAGCTTGTTTCTCCTTCAGTCCACCCCCCAAGGCCGGCTCTTACAATCTGGCATGTTTTCTCTCTGGTGCGGTAGTATGAGAGACTCCATTCCCTCCCCACCAGGAACAGATATACAAGTGGCATTGGCCAGGTGCTGTATGGTGCCCACACATGTGCAAGAGATAGAGAAAGTTACTCTGTGCCCAGAACAGGGGGCAGACTTCTCTGATAAGGAGAAGGAACTGGAAGAAAGGAGGTGACTCAATTCCCAGCCTCCTTATCAGAGAATGTTCTGGGCCTAAGGCCCTGGGAAGCATAGAGGCAGACCACTCTCCCAACACTAGGGACCTGTGTTGGGATATTATGCAGGATATTATGTATTTAATGTATTTAATGCCTGTTCCATGGTTCCATGCTGAGCAGATAATGTTTTTATCTGCTATAATCAAAAAGCATAAATATTAATAGGAGTGAAATTATGTAATATACATTCCACAAATGTCTTCCACTATAATTGCTATTAAACTGCAGGGTTCATTGACTGACATGAAACATCTCTCTTGTGAAATAAATATATTTAACTATTTGTATTGACTAAATGTTTCTCGAAACATAGAATTACCACTTTTTTAGCCAATAATATATTTCTGCAATTCCTCATAACAAAAGCATTTCATTTATCCACAAAAAGAGAAATGGAGTGTTTAAAATGATCACTTTCAGGCACTAATATATATAATAGTCATTTTATGAAGATTTTTTCAGCATATGATTACAAAAACTAGTATTAAAAAAAAAACAAAAACCTGTTGCTGTGGAGTAGATTCTGACTTGTAGCGACCCTATAGAACAGAGTAGAACTGCCCCACAAAGTTTCCAAGGAGTGCCTGGTAGATTCAAACTGCCAACTTTTTGATTAGCAGTCATAGTACTTAACCATTACACCACCAGGGTTTCCAAGAATTGCCACTTTTTTAGCCAATAACATATTTCCTCAGTTCCTCATAACAAAAGCATTTCATTTATCCACAAAAAGAGAAACAGAGTGTTTAAAATGAATACTTTCAGGCACTAATATATATAATACTTATTCTACGAAGATTTTTTTCAGCATATGATTACAGAAACTAGTATTAGCACCCAGTTTTTGCTTTAAAAAAAGAAAACCTCCGATTTTATAAGGCAGTAGAGGATTTCTGAGACAGTAGGGGTGGAGGGTGGAGTATGTTGTTGTTAGTTGCTGTCAAGTTAATTCTGACTTATGACGACCCTATGTGTGTCAGAGTAGAACTTTATACCAGACAGTTTATGTATATTATCTTATTCCTCTTAACCCGTGGGATAGTAATTTTTATCATCATTTTAGAGGTGAAAATATGTACACTTGGTTAAGCTTTGGGTCATTTATTCCTTGTGTGGCAGATTGTATTTGAACCCAGATTCACCTGCCTCCATTCTCTGCTTATACTTTCACTCTGTGTAGAGTGTACTGCACTCTGAGAAAGGCATGGGGAACCCTGCTTTGCTGGTTGAGCTACCTGATTATTCAGTATAAAACAGCTAACGTTCGTTTCTTCATTCAGTACAGTACTTGAGTGCTTTTTGTGTAACAGTAGATGGCAGTACTTGGGGGAAGAACAAAAATTAAAGCTGGAAGAACAATCAATTTTCTCTTACAACGAGAAAATATTGATGCATGCTGAGAATGGTGCTTGTCAGTGAAAACGCCAGAGCAACAAAGTTGGAAAGTAAATTCGTGACCTTTCAAAATTGAACCTATTTTTTCCACCATGAGGAATTAGTCCATGCTTCCAGCTTCTGGAAATGTTTTGCAAATAAAAATCCAATCTGGCTTTTCCTTTATTATTTTAAAGACCTTATTTACCGTTGTTGTCATACGAGCTTGAAAGTACTTTATAAACAAACTGAGTAAGTGCTGAAGGAGATGAATAAAATCACAGTACAGTTCAGGATCCCAAACATTTCCATTTCAAATTCTTCATTGCATTGCCTCTTTGTTTATATTTATCTGATCTTGAGGTAAAGGAGCCCTGGTGGCCCTCGACTACTAACTGAAAGATCGGCAGTTCAAACCCACCAGCTGCTCCATGGGAGAAAAGATTACAGCCTTGGAAACTCTATAGGGCAGATCTACTCTGTCCTATAGGGTTGCTGTGAAATGAAATTGACTTGATGGCAATGAGTTTGGTTTTGGTTTTTAATCTTGGGGTGAAAAAGGCCTTTCTAAGGATGCATGCAAAGGTAGAATCTCTAAAGGAAAAATAAAAATAAGAAGATAATTTCATGGCATAACCATTTTAAACTTTTCTACATCAAAAAAAAAAAAAGAGAGAGAGAAAATACTGTAAGCAAAATTAAAAACCCTCGTCCATTGCTGGTGGGATTGTAAAATGGTACAGTTGCTATAGAAAACAGCCTGACAGTTCCTCAAAAAGTTAAACATAGAATTACCATATGCTCCTGCAATTCTGTCCCTGGGTTACAAATGTCCAACTTACGTACAACCTGTAGTTATGAACCAACCCCTGTAAAGCCTGTTATATTAAAAATTCAAGGTGCATACAATGCAATGGTTCATAATAACAAACTCTGCAATGCACATTAAAATACTTTTATTATTATTACTGTTATTATGTTAAAGATATTTTAGTGTATCTGGAAGTGTTTCTTTACTGTTTTTATGCAGAGAAATGTACACTATATATTAAGACAAACATTTAACTGAAATTAGATACCAACTGTACCTAACTGTTCCAACTTATGTACAAATTCAATTTACGGACAGACTTAGGAATGGAATTCGTTCCATAATCTGGGGACTGCCTCTATACTCGAAAGAATCAAAAGCAGAGATTCAAACAGACATATGTACATCAATGTTAATTCCAGCACTATTCATAATAGCCAAAAGATGGAAACAACCTAAACGCTCACCAACAAATGACTAGATAAGCAAAATAAGGTATATACATACAATGGAATATTACTCAGTCATAAAGAAAACGAAGTCCTGATAAATGCCACAAAGTGGATAAAACTCAAAAACATCATGCTGAATGTCAGTCAGTCACAAAAGGACAAATATTGCATGATTCCACTTGCATTAAATATCTAGAACAGGCAAATGTATACAGACCTAAGGTTATTAGTGGTTACTAGGAGCAGGTGGGAAGAAGGGGGATAAGGAGACTGACTGCTTAGGAGACAATGAGTTTCTGTTAAGGGTGATAGAAAAAGCGGGAAACAGATAATGGTGATGGTTACAAAACATGATGAATGCAATTAATGTCACTAAATTGCACTGTGAAGAAAATTGAAATAACAAATGTTTTGTTACAAATATGTTTTACACACACACACAAATAGCAAATAATAAACTGGAGAAACTATTTACAATATATAACCAAAAGCTGGTATGTTTGTTATATACAGAAGTCTTTCAAATAAACATAAAAATGGTGAATAGATAGAGAAAAAAAGTACATAATAAACAACTGAGAAGGAAAAATTATAAATGGCTAATAAATATATTAAGATTTTCAACTTCAATTAAAATTAGCAGGAGATCACTTTATTATTCATCTTATGTGAAAAATAAAACAGAATGATAGCCCTCGGCATTGTGGCACATGTGAGGAATCGGGTACAGGGTGAGGGGACATAGTTGTGCACAATGTCTATAGGGGATACTTGGGCACACTTGAAAGCACCCATATCTTTGACCTAGTAATTCTACTTTCAGAAATTTTTCTAATAATTAGCAAATGCACAAAGATAAATCTACAATTATATCCGTTATAGCCTTATTTATTGGAGGGACCAATTCCTGGAGAAGGACATCATGCTTGATAAAGTAGAGGGTCAGGAAAAAAGAGGAAGACCCTCAACAAGATGGATTAAACAGTGGCTGCAACAATGGGCTCAAACATAGCAATGATTGTGAGAATGGTAGAGGGCCAGGCAACGTTTCCCGGTAGTCTTGTCATACATAGATCACTATGCGTCAGTACCGACTCAACAGCACCTAACAGCAACAATATAATTTCTAATAGCAAAAAAAGTAGAAATGAGTCAATAGTGCAATCATCAAATGTTGCTCAAATATATCATGAAATAATATAATATTATGGAGTCATTTAAAAATAGTTAATGGCGTGAGAAAAGAGTTACAGGTATTTATGATGCACAGATTTGTTGGGATAATGATATATATTGTATAGTTTAATATAGGATTCCTTTTTTTTTTGAAGTACAACTAAGCATTATAAAAATATTTTAAGTAAACACATATGCCAAATATTAATAGTTGTCTTCTCTGGAGGGATAATATTATGGATGTTTTGATTTTCTCTCTGTGCTTTTCTGCACTTCTCCATTTTTTTTCTTAAAATTAACGTGTATTACTTTTGTACTGTTGAAAAATGTTATCTTAAAAATGGAAAACAATTGTCTTCTCAGTCCATCTATTTCTTCTGTCTTTTTAATGTGAAGTATTTTTTGCCTTTCTTCAAGGCTGTATTTTCACTGTTCAAGTTCGCACTGCAAAGGATGGCCATTTCAGAGACCTGGGAAATCCTGAGGGCCTCCCAAATTCTGGACGCAGCGTTGGCCAGTGTGATGCTTCTCCTTGCAGTTTAATGAAATGTGGCAATGGTGGGACATGCACTGAGAGTGGATCTACTGTTTAGTAAGTATAACATTGTTAGGAAAGTAAGTAGCACGTTATTTGTGTACTAACTGATAACATCACTCGCAAAAACAAGGAACACAAACCAATGCTCACATTTAAAGTGTGTTCATGCAGACTTGCTAAATGACTGGGGGACAGATAAAGACAACTAGAAATAGGGTCAGCATGCAACTGTTGCCATTTGTCAATTCTTTTAAACAATAAAAATGAGTTACTACCATGGGAAAGAACTTAAACTTAAAATATTGAGAGTATCTCCAGAGATATTAACCACACAAAGGTTTACAGATGGGGATTTGCTTTCATATTTAGATTTGAGCTTCTTTAGAAAGGGTCCTCTCTAGGTGGGCACTGGCGAAGTTGCATGGCTTGACTGCTGACTACTTTATTCATTTTAAAACAAAATGTGGCCCTGTTGAGTGGGAGGAAAATAAATAATTTGTAAATTATGTCTTATATTTTTATATTTATTTAATTATACTTATAAATACAATTGAAATATATTATATATGTTATACATTATAATATAGTATACAATATTAATATATTTATATTATACATGTATATTTGATTATTATAATTTCTTTATTTAACCAAATTTTGTTAAGCATCTGTTCTATGCATAAGCAGTATATATATATCCAAAGAAAGAGAAAGTAAGCACTCTGTCCTTCAATTTCTTGCACTCTAGCTATCCATGAATTTCTAATGTCTCAGACATTTATGAGAAAGCTAGGAAAGTGATTTGTCAAATTCTTTCCCACAAGACACATCAGAAGGAATGATGCACTTCTCCCAGAGACAAGGGCTCACTGCAAAGCAGCTGGCAAAGTGGAGTATCAGAATCTCACCTGGAGGATATGGGTGGCAGAAGGTGTAGTTTTGAAAGCCCTTGAGAATTTCTTACCCTCCCCACCATCTCCTCACTAGAAAGTGATCAGAAGCAGAGTTCAAACAACTGTTAATCACAGTGCATTGGGTTGGTGAACAAAGTCTTCTGGGGAGGAGGCAGCAGGGGTGTTAAGATGACCATTCGAACTTGCCATTTCTTACCAAAAACCCTTCAGTGATTTATCAGGGCACACAGGGTAATTTCTGAACCCTTCACTGCAGCTTTCAAGGTTTTACATGATTTCGCCCCTGCAACCTCTTGAACTTCCTCTCTTACCCCTCACTTACAGTTCAAGTCCAATTAACCTATTTCTTCTCTTTGAACCCATCAAGCTCGTTTCTGCTTCAGACCTGTGCAGTCTCTTCTTATAGGGTGACTGTCTTAGTTTCTTAGTGCTGCTGTAACAGAAATACCACAAGTGAGTGGCTTTAACAAACAATTTTATTTTCTCACAGTTTAGGAGGCTAGAAGTCCGAATTCAGGGTGCTGGCTCTAGGTGAAGGCTCTTTGTCCTCTCTGGGACAGAGAAATCCTTGTGTCTTTCAGTTTCTCTTCCTTAGTTCCTTGGTGATCTCTACATGGCATCAATCTTTCACCATTTGCACTTGCTTTCTTTTATGCCCAGTCTGCTCTTTATATCTCAAAAGGAATTGGTTTAAGACATACCCTACACTGATATGGCCTCATTAGGATAACAAAGAAAACCCTATTTCCAAATGTGATTACATCCACAAGTAAGTTGTTGTTGTGTGTTGTTGGTTCATTCTGACTCATAGCAACCCCACGTGCAGAGTAGAACTGCCCCATAGGGTTTCCTAGGCTGTAATGTGTAAGGGGGAACCCTGGTGGCATAGTGGTTAAGAGCCTGGCTGTGCATCAAAAGGTCGGCAGTTCGAATTCACCAGCTGCTCGTTGGAAACCCTACGAATCAGTTCTGTTCTGTCCTATAGGGTCGCTGTGAGTCAGAATCAACTCTAATATTTACGGGAGCAGATCACCAGGTCTTTTCTCCCACAGAGCCACTAGGTGGTTTCGAACCACCAGCCTTATGGTTAGCAACCGAGTGTTTAACCATTGTGCCACCAGGGCTCTTTTCCACAGGTATACTGGTTAGGATTTACAACACATATTTTGGGGGAACACATTTCAATCTATAACAGTGTCCTTGCCACCAGTCTCCATTTGGCTGCCTCCTTCTTGTCATTGGCTCAACTTTAACCTCCTCAGAAAGGCCCTCTTAACTCTCACCCAAAACTATCCCTCTCTTTAGTCACTATCACATAATGATGTTTTACTGTCTCCATAATGTATCACTCTCTGATTTTTTTTATTCATTTGTTTGTATACTGGTTATTATTTTTCCCTGAAAATAGACCTGATCTCTCATGCTACCACTGTATCCCTTGTGCCTAGAATAGTGCCTACTATACAAAAGGCATTCAGAAAACAGTTGTTAAATGAACTAATCAGTGAATAGATTGTCAATGAAAAGTGAAAGGAAACATTATTCTAAAGGTTCTGAGCAAAGGTACAAATGTAGAGACAAGCAAGGTGTGTGGAGTCATGATACTGAAGCCAATTTGGCTAAAACAGAATATTCTGTTGATTAGTTATGAGAAATGGGACAGAGGAAGTATGGAAGGATGAGAACCTTACATAACAGATAACAAATTTGCTTTACCCCAAGAATGAGACATGAACAGTCCTGACAGGAAAGATCCATGATAAAGACAGATGTTTGAAAGTCATTCCTTTGCAGTGTCAGTATCAGGGGTCGGAGAGGAGGGGTTACTAGGCAACAGTTTTGGAAATCTAGGTCTTTTATAAAGGGCCTGGGTTTAGGAAATGGCTGTAGAAAAGAAAAGGAAAGAATTAATTTAAAAGATATTGCAGAGAAACATCCATGCCATGGGACCTGTTGAATATGAGATTGTGGGAGGAAGGTAAGAGGGAAGTCAAGTCTAAATTAATTCAAACCTGGTGTATTAGAGAAATTGAGTAAATAAAGATTAAAATTTATAAAACTGGACTTCTAGGGGATTGTTTTTTGTAATGTTCTTATTTTGTTTTATTTCATAGCACAAGGTTCAGAGTTAATAGAAATCTGCAGCAAATTAATTAGAAAGAATATATTTGGCCTTATAAAGAATTGAAATTCACATGCAGTGATACTGAAGTGGATAAAATAGGTTAATTCTATTGCTATAAAAAGAGAGTAGAGGTACTGGTCCTGATTTCAGACAAAGTAGAATTCAAGTCAAAAAACATTAAACTTCACAACGAAGGTACTTTTTAATGATAAAAGCTACAATTCACAATAAAGAAACACTTATAAATATCTATGCACTAAACAGCACACTAATAATAGAAGACTTTAAAACATCACTTTCAAGTATAAAAATAATAGAACACCTAAAAAACATATTAAATCAGAAACTAAAGAGATTAGTTATGTATAGGGGGTATGGGAAGAGAGTGGAAAAAATGAGGGGATGGTAAGGGGGTAATAGAGGAGGGACATTTTTTTGAGTACCAACTTTTTTTAAGTTTTAACTCTTTAAACAATACTAATATTTCACATACCATAAATATATTGTTATAGTAATGTTTACTATATATGTACGCATATATAACATCAACCAGGATATGAGGTGAGCCTGAACAAGGAATACCAAAAGCAACAAATGAACCTAATTGTATTACAAATGAGCAACAGCCACGTGGAAGGTTGTTGTTGTTTGTCCAGTCCGTTCCAAGTCACAGAAACACCACATGTGCAACGTAAAACTGCTCCATAGGGTGTTCAACGCTGTGACCTTTCAGGAGCAGATCGCCAGGTGTGTCTCCTGAGAAACCTCTAGTTGGGTTTGAGTGGCCAACTGTTCCTGGCTTGTGAGTATTTGGGAAACAGAGCATATTCTATCTTTATATCTATCTTTCATGATATATATTGAAAATACTGAAAAGTTCTGCAACAAAGAAGTATGTTGAACCCAGAGTTTCCCAAACTTACTACATCACAGAATCTGTTTTTTTCAAACATGGCCTATTAACATCTGCAGAACACTTTTGAAACTCTATACAAGGAATTGAGAATTGTCTGGAAGGTTTGTTTCTTTTTGCAAGCTTTTGAGTGCAGCTTGAAGTTGAGTTAGTAATGCAATGTTCATATTTTAGAAAGGTTTCTTAAAACTGAATTTATACTGAACATGCTTACGTTTAACTTCCATGAAATTTACACTGATTGAACACAGTACTTTGCAAGTAATGAAGACACGTAAAAGTATTACTTAATTACTCCCTGACTTTATACATATAGACGGAGCCGTGTCTCTCGAATAAATTTATTAGAGAATATGAGTTTATCTTTGCCAGTTGGCTATCACATACACTTACATTGTGAGTAGCACCTATACAACCCAAACACTCCCCCAACCAGAGCAGTAGAATTACACTTACCTAGAAGACTAGGAAAGCTTCCTAAATACCAGAAAATATTATCTCACATTCCCTAACAAGTATTGTTGCTGTTGGATGCCGTTGAGTATAGGCTGTTTTTAATTCATAAGGATAAATCTGGGAAAATAGAAGTATTTTATCAATAAATTGTCCAACTAACCATTACTTAGCAGCAAATTTAACATGTTCAAGACAGAGTTGCTTTAAATTCCATCTGAAGTCTCCACATTTTATTAGTTACTTTAATCTGTTCATATTTATTGTGAAAACTGGTCTATATATAATTGGACTGATTACTAGCATACTAGTTTGTGCATGATTCTCTTATTTGCATACATTTCTGTTCTGACTGCATCCTGTTTGTATTTGTTCATACTAGTGGTATATACCTTTGCTCCTAAGCTTGCTAAAGATAGAATTCTGCAAAGATTATAATGCCTCAACTAGTAGATGGATGATAAATGTTCATGGTTTTTATTATTAAAGTAGATGTACTCTAAGAACTCTTAAAGGTTCTAATGTTCTATGATCAAAAAAAATCCTTTATATATCTTCTAGTAACTTGTTCACTACTATAATCAAGTGAATTTCATAGGGTCCATTGCCATCAAAACACTTCAAATTAATATCTTTTTTAAGCATCACT